GTTGAGAGGGTCACTCTCTCATAATGAATCTTTACAATACTCGATTCAAATTGATCGCTCAATAACTTAAATACTAGTAGTTGAAAGAAATATAATGATGTTATCTTTCGAATAAATAAAAAAATGTTTTCGTTATAGAATCCACTAAAGAAAGAAAAACAATTAAATTTAAAATATTTTAAAATTAAAAGAAATAATTTAGATTGCTAAGGTAAAATAATTTAAAAAATTAATAATTTAGAATGTTACAGGGAAATAATTTAAGAAATTAAAATTTTAGAAGGTTAGGGTGAAATAATTTGAGAATTAGGAATAAAAAATATAATATAAATTAAAAAATTAAAAAATATGTAGGAAATCGGTAACCTGGTCAATGGGTACCCAGTTAAGCATTATTTTATGACTCGGGCTCAATCTAGAAATCTGTCAAAAATAGTAGATCATGTATCCGACCTGAAAATTTGGGTATTTTCACTATAAATACACAATAATTTTAGACTAGGTCAGCGAGTCAATAGGTCGAGTCGTCCTACCTATAATGAATCTTTGTAGTACCTAATCGGATTAACTAATAAAAAAAATCAGATATTACTGGTTATATAAAAAATCAACAAAGACAGATATCATGAAGATAAAGGATGGAGCCATTTATTTAAATATTAATAAAAAAAACTATTATCTCTTTTAATTTTTTTATTTCAATGCTCAATAGATCTGTAATCCACTCAACATTTGATTCTAATTCCATATTCGGCAAATATGATAGCTAAAAGCAACGTATACCTACTTCATAAATCATGGCACATAATTATTTTAGAAAGTGACATCAATTTAAAGAGGTTAATGATTAAGTATGTTGCATGCTTTTATACCATATTAAGTTTAAAGGTAAACTATATCAGATACTCTGAATTTTAAGTGTTATACCGTTTATACCACTGAACTTTTAACTTTATCAATTATAACATTAAACTTTGATTTTCGTTTCAATTATACTAATGAACCATTAAATCGTTAACGACATGATGACGTGACTGACGACTGTTGATGTAGTTGAATGGTATTGACGTAGACACCTCAAGAAAACGACACTATTTTTTTATATGGTTTAACAACCCAGTGGTATAATTGAAACGCAAATAAAAGTTCAGTGCTATAAATGATGAAATTGAAAATTCAGAGATATAAACGAAACATTACCTAAAGTTTGGTGGCATCTGGTGTAGTTTACCCTAAATTTATAATGGACCTCAATGTTCCAATTCAGATTTCAGACATGGGGAAAACATGTAGGACAAATATCCACCAAATCCCATTTGTTTAATGAACCTTTTTGTATAGTGTTGGATTTGGCAACATATTAATTCATTAATTAATCAGTCGATTACGACATTGATTTGGTAGCATATAAATTTTAATTTTACTAATATTACGACATTCATTCGCAGCTCATTCACTGTCGGCAATTCTGTTTCAACACACTACACTCTAAATTTCTCTATTCAAGCCTAATATTATGGTCAGAATTTATTATTCGAATTTTAAATTTCGATTCGTGTCGCATATTCAGTTCATACATGACTATATTTTTATTAAAAAAAGATTAAAAGTGAAATAAATTTTTACTAATTAAAGAAAGGGTAAAGTATATAAATGGTCACTGAACTTTTTAGATTCTTGCATTTAGGTCTCCCCAACTTTTAAAACTTGCAATACAATCGCCAAATATTTAGTTCGTTTGCAATATAATCCCCGACATAACGGTCGTTTCACTGCTGTTAGGGTAAATTATATAAATAGTCACCGAACTTTTCAGGCGCTTGCATTTAGGTCCCCAGCTTTTAAAACTTGCAACACATACATTAATTACATTCTAAACCCCAAATTTCAAAATACTTCAATTACAATCTAAACCTCAAATTCCAAAAAATGCTTCAATTACATGCCCAACCCCAAATTCATAATCCGTTCTCAAAATCTGTCATAACAAACTAAACTTGAAACATCAGCCCTAAACCCTAAAAAATAACCCTAAATGCTAAATTTCCCCACCAATTAACCCAACATAATTAACAACATTTAGTTCATTTTGGGTCCATAACAATAAGTGATTACGTTGGGTTTAGGATTTAAAAGTTAGATTTAACCAACTATAAGTGAACAATACTCAATTCGATTCGAAAAAATTATTTTTCGACTTGAATTGATTCAAAAAATTTGATACAAATTGACTTTGAGTTGTAATTTCATAAACTCAACTTAAAAAAATTCAAGTTAAAATCGTGTTGTAAAATACAACTCGAATATCTAAATTTTTTTTAGTAATTAGTGGATTAATTTTTAAGTTTGAGTCAAGTCCCTTGACTCTGTATGATATATGTATATCACACATGGAAACAAATATGAAGAAATATGTATATTGTATATGGTTAAAAAACTATTTAAATTAGAATCATATAATATTATAGTATTATAAATATTTATAATTAAATTTAAACAGAAACTCGAAAATTCAATTCGACTTGATTTAAATTTTATAAACTGAACTTATAAACTGAACTGAATTAGAATCAAATAATATTATAATATGATAAATATTTATAATTAAATTTAAACATAAACTCGAAAATTCAATTCAATTCGACTTTATTTAAATTTTATAAACTCAAATCGAAAAAATTTCGAGTCAACTATTTTATAAATTGAATTGAGTATTTAGGTCCAACATAACCCTAAACCCAACATAATCACTTATTATTCACTTATAGTTAGTTAATTTTTTCGAAAATGTTATGTTGTGAGGGTTTAGGGTCGTTGCTTTAAGTTTAGTTTGTTATGTCACATTTTGAGAATGAATTATGAATTTAGGGTTGGGTATGTAATTGAAGTATTTTGGAATTTGAGGTTCAGAATGTAATTGAAGCATTTTGGATTTGGGGTTTAGAATGTAATTGATGATTGTGTTGTAAGTTTTAAAAGTTAGGGGGACCTAAATGCAAGTGCCTGAAAAGTTCAATTGACCATTCATATAATTTACCCTAACGGAAGTGAAACGACCGTTATGTCGGGGACCATATTGCAAACAAACTAAATGTTTTGTGATTGTATTGCAAGTTTTAAAAGTTAGAGACCTAAATGCAACCATCTAAAAGTTCAGTGACCATTTATATACTTTACCCTTAAAGAAAATTTGGATTATGGACTAATCACATGTCCTCCTTGAGTAAAGTGTACCCCTACCACTGCACCCATATATTCTCTAAAAAAATCTCGGTAAACAAATTATTAATAAAATTAAACAGTTAAGATCAAAATAGAATATATCGTTAAAAATCTCTATTAACCTAAATTAAGAAAAAGAATACAAGTGATAATACAGTACCCATTAGTTTAATGGATCTCCAGGTGGTATTAGATTTGGTAGCATATAAAATTATGAATAAATCAATCGATTATGACATCAACATTGATTCGATACCTTAAAATAAAGTAGTCGTTCACGATTTTCTACAGGGAAAACCATGCCCGCTTAGCCTTGACTTGGTTGGGATTTAATTTAGATTTGGTAGAAAAAAATAAAAATATATAACGGATTGATCTAAACGGTAAATAACCTGACATTATTTAAATAAATCTCGAATTTAAATATTTATATATACAAAAAAAAAATCATCAGAAGATTTACTTACCAAAGCTCAGAGGACTCTTCTCTTACAATTGAGAACACTTTGTATTCTCAATTAAATAATCTGATACTGTATTAACAATTAATTAATCTAGTTGGATGAGATATTAAATTTCTTAAGTAATATCATGAATTTGAATCATGATATTCGCGAATAGAATAAATTAAATTAAGATGATCATCTTTGCTTCTGTAAGACCTCAATTCAAAATAATCGTTCAATAAAATTATAAAGGAAAATGAACCCATCAAACTGACAAGAGTCTTTATCACAAACTAACCCTTCCTTTCCCAAATAATCACCTAGCATAATAGCTTCATTATTGAATATCGATGGACCTCTACAAATAATTGAATTGAACTGGAAGTAGCGACTTGATTCACCTCGAAAAAACTCCACTCAAATTGATTTCAAATTATAATTTTATAAACTCGATTATAAAAAATTTCAAATTCAAATCGAATTGTAAAATATAACTCGAATAACTCAAAAATTTTAGTAATTAATAGATTTATTTTTCAAGTTTGAGTTGAGCCCTTGAACTTTTTATGATATATGTGTATCATATGGAAAAAAATGAAGAAACATATTTATATTGTATATATGAATATAGAAAGTTATTTAAATTAGAACAAAAAAAATATTATAATATTATAAATATTCACAATTAAATTTAAACATAAACTCGAAAAATTGACTCGACTAGACTTGACTCGAAACAAGTCAACTCCGAGTTGTAAATAGGACTCGTCAACTCGAATAACTCAAAAACTTTTTACTCAACTTAACTAGATCGAACGCTCACCCCTAATTGGGAGAGTCACCAACCTTTAAAGTACTAGATAATTGAATTGGAAGAATCGTTAGACTTCACAGAACTCGATTTAAATTAATATATTAATAAATCAAATATTAAAAAATTATTATCATTATTTTCTAAAGGAATTAAAAATGTTTTCATGATAGAATTCACCAAAACTAGCAATGAATCACAATAATAGTACAAGTTGGAAACAAGATATTATAATCAAATGGGTTGTTTATCCATCTTTTTATTAAAATAAAATCTTGTGGACCAAATATCTTTCTTGAGTTTTTTGATTAGTTACTTATTTTATTGATTGTGCTTATCTTGAAATTTTTCGTATTCACCTTGAAATCTGAGTTTTCTTCTATTAGTTACTTATTTTACATACAATATCTATCGTGAAATTTTATTTTTACCCATCTCATTTAAAATTTTTATATTATTAACGTATGTGTGCTCGTCCTAAAAAATATTTTTGGATGCGTCATTTTTTTTATTTCCTTTCTATAAATAGGAGGGATTATTGCTTATCGACACCATAAGAGTTGTACAAGTTTATTGCATTAAAAGAAAAAACATGAAATCTTTCCTCCCTTTCTTTGCATTCCTCTCGCTTCTCCTGGTAAGCTCTTGCAGTGTTAGTTATGAATATTCAATTTTCATGGCGTTTTCACGTATATATTTTGCTAATTTGTATGGTTAATTATATATACATGTTTTTATATGAACGCAGTTTGCAGACACCCTTTCAGCTGCTCGAAAAGATGTTGGGGAGTACTGGAGAGCTGTAATGAAAGACCAGCCTATGCCTGATGCACTTGTAGAGCTTGTTTGGGTCAAGGCTGCCTCCGTTGGTGATTTTGAACCGAGGCCAAGCACAACGGCCTATGGAGACAATGATGTTGGCCTTAAAGGAAAAAAGAAATCATTCGTTAATGATTTTGAACCGAGGCCAAGCACAACGGCCTACGGAGACAATGATGTTGGCTTTAAAGGAAAAAAGAAATCATTCGCTAATGATTTTGAACCGAGACCAAGCGTATCGGCCTACGAAGACAATGATGTTGGCCTTAAAGGAAAAAAGAAATCATTCGCTAATGATTTTGAATCAAGACCAAGCGTATCGGCCTATGGAGACAATGATGTTGGCCTTAAAGGAAAAAAGAAATCATTCGCTAATGATTTTGAACCGAGACCAAGCATATCGGCCTATGGAGACAATGATGTTGGTCTTAAAGGAAAAAAGAAATCATTCGCTAATGATTTTGAACCGAGACCAAGCATATCGGCCTATGGAGACAATGATGTTGGCCTTAAAGGAAAAAATAAATTATTCACTAATGATTTTGAACCGAGACCAAGCTTATCGGCCTATGGAGACAATGATGTTGGTCTTAAAGAAAAAAAGAAATCGTTCACTAATGATTTTGAACCGAGACCAAGCGTATCGGCCTATGGAGACAATGATGTTGGCCTTAAAGGTAAAAAGAAATTATTCACTAATGATTTTGAACCGAGACCAAGCACAACGGCCTAGGGAGACGATGATGCTGATCTTAAAGCAGTGAAGAAATAATGGACTAATAATCTTCTCCCTTTACATGTTATGTTTTACTGTGTGTTGTAATAAACTCAGCATCATCATCAGACTGAGTGTTCTGCTTGTGTTTGGAAGTTTGAATTTTCTTCATTATTTTCAGTTAATTATATCATATGTCCTTAAATTATGACTTTTATTTTAAATTAGTCCCTAAACTTTTGAATATATTAATTTCATTCTCAAACTAAGATACTCATTCTAAATTAGTCTTTAAACTTGTGAACATTCCAATTTCATCCTTAAACTGTTCTAAATTCGTCACTAAACTTTAAACCTTCCAATTTCATCCTCAAATTCATCCAAATATGTAATTAATTTTAACCATAATTTAACCTAAACTTTATTTTTTTTTCAAACATTTAATAATATAACTTGACCTAACGATTTTATTGACATGGAATGTGATTAGTATATGCATATAATGTCAGATGAAATTGAAATGTTGAAAATGTTTGGGGCACTAATTTAGAATGAAGGATATAGTTTAGGGATGAAACTAAAATGTTCAAAAGTTCAAGGACTACTTTAGAATGTAATTGAAATATTTAAAAATTTAGAGACTATTTTAAAACAAAAACCATAGTTTGAATACGTATGATGCAGTTAACTCCACTATCTTTACCGAGTGAATTTTACATGAAATTTGTCACAAATTTACCATTATAGCCCAAATAGGCCATATTGAATTTTGTTACTTTATTCCGACTTAATGACATTTTTATTCAATTAAATTCTATAAAATAATATTATAATTTATAAATATTAAAAATCTATAATTAATATTATAAACATAACAAATAATATAATATAATAATATTATAAACAAAAAGTACGAATTTGATTATTATATAGATTTAAATTTTTGATGTACTTATTTTTAGAGGGATATTGTTGATAAATTTATTATTATAGTTATATTTTAAAGATAATCGAAAGATTTATGATAAGTTTATTGAATTCGAGATATTTTTAGTGAAACGGACACGATATGCGTTCAGAGGCCAAAAGAGGGTGATTTAAAAAATTTAGGGTCTAACAGTCGTTGATGACAGTGATCGATGATAATCGACGATGACAGTGGTGAGTGACAGTGATCAATGATTTCGAGATATTTTCCTAGTAAAATAGACACCAGATACGCGTTCAGGAGGCCAAAAGAGGGTGATTTAAAAATTTTAAGGTCCAACGGTCGTTGATGACAGTGATCGATGATAATCGACGGTGACATTGGTGAGTGACTAGGGATGGCAAACGGGCAGGTCGGGTGCGGATACCCCCTCCCCCATCCCCATACCCACTAATATTTTTCAATCCACCACCCGCCCACCACCCATGATGGGTATAAATTTTCAAATCCACACCCGCCCACGCGGGTACATTTTCAAATCCATCCCCACACCCACTACCCACTAGCGACATACCCATCTAGACCCGCCTGATAGCAAGCAATTGGGATGTTGGAGTTGGTTCCCAAACAGTTCATGATGGGGTAGCAGCGCATGCTTCAATTTGTCAGAGGAGTGGCTCTACGAATGTTATGGAGACAAATTGTAGGGAGCATGTAGTCGCAGAGCTGGATTGTTGTGTTGCTTTCGATGTTAATGCTCATAGTGCGCCTAATATGGGTTTTGAGGGGCTAAAGAACATGGAAACTGCTGCTTTTGATGTTAATGCTTATAGTACGGGTTCCCAAACAGTAAACCAATGGGATGTTGGAGTTGGTTCCCAGACAGTTCGTGATGGGGTAGCAGCGCATGCTTCAATTTGTCAGAGGAGTGGCTCTACGAATGTTATGGAGACATATTGTAGGGAGCATGTAGTCGTAGAGCTGGATTGTTGTGTTGCTTTCGATGTTAATGCTCATAGTGCGCCTAATATGGGTTTTGAGGGGCTAAAGAACATGGAAACTGCTGTTTTTGATGTTAATGCTTATAGTACGGGTTCCCAGACAATAAACTAATGGGATGTTGGAGTTGGTTCCCAGACAGTTCGTGATGGGGTAGCAACGCATGCTTCAATTTGTCAGAGGAGTGGCTCTACGAATGTTATGGAGACAGATTGTAGGGAGCATGTAGTCGCAGGGCTGGATTGTTGTGTTGCTTTCGATGTTAATGCTCATAGTGCGCCTAATATGGGTTTTGAGGGGCTAAAGAACATGTAAACTGCTGCTTTTGATGTTAATGCTTATAGTACAACTAATTTGTGTTTGGATGGGCAGTATGAGCTAAAGAACATGGAAAGTGAGATTATGGGTTTAATCAAATAGCCGAATATTTCCCTAATTAAAGACCAGATTAAAGACTAAATATCCTTAATATTTGGTTAAATTATATGTTATATATTATACAATATTAAAATTTATAAATTAGTCTCTAAAATTACACCTAAATTCATAATGGTCCAAAATTTAATAGATATTTAGCTGGGCGGGCGGATGCGGGGCGGGTAATGTCTCAAACCCATTACCCGCCCACCACCCACGACGGGTATCACTTTATAAATCCACACCCGCCCACTACCCGCTAAAATTATACCCATCCCCGCTCCAATTGGAGCGGATGCGGTGCGGAATCCACGAAACTGTACCTGTTTGCCATCCCTATGAGTGACAGTTGACGACATGAGACTTTGATAGGATTTAGGAGTTAAATTATTATTTTATATAAAATTTGGCATCAAATTATTGTTTTATCAGTTTAGGTCAAATTAAAACATAATATTTTTTTATTAATATGTCACATCATTATATTAATATAATAATCAATACCAACAACCGGTTGGTCTAGTGGGATGAGGAATTAGATTCCTTAAATAAGGTTAGGGGTTTGAACCCTAGCGTTTACTAATAGAGCAAATTGGGTTGAGAGGGTCACATTCGTCTCTACAGTACCTGATCTGAATTAATCGACTAATAGATCGAATATCAGTGATTAATTCAAAAAATATAATAATCGATAATATAAAAGACTAAAATTTAATAAATTTATAATATAAGTGATCAAAATTTAACTTTTACAAAGTCGGTAACTAAAAATGAACAAACTGAAACAAAAATAAGCATTCCGATAGTTAACCTAATATTTTAATATGATGGTAACATGTCGAGATAAATATATGAATTGGCAGAAAATTAGAAAAATATTGTAGGTGGAAAAATAATTACGAAAATACGATTGATTGAAAATTATTTAAGAATTTATTATATTTGTTATTGTGGATTAAAAATACATCACATGAATATGACGAGTTTTATAAAATATATATTTTTATTGTAATTCGTTACGTGAGTTTGACAAATTTCATGAACGAGTTCTATAAAATATAGTTTATTTATCAGAATTCGTCCATGAAACTTATCAAGTTCACGTGTCAAATTCTTATTTTACTGTAGTAAAATTTATAATCCCTAAATAATTTCCCACCAACCATGTATCCTAATATAATTTGGCGTGAGGATTATTAGGCAAATATACTGTTAGCATGCTAATTAAAAGTTTGTTATTTGAATTTTTTTTATATTCGCCAATAGGTGATAATACCAATTTTAGGGTTGGTTATATGTCGTCGTTTCGTTTTACTTTTTTATATTTTAGTTCTTAAAAAATTCGTCTTTATGACATGTATTTCTCTATTTTATAGCACGTTTTTCTTTGTTTTCTAACACGTTTTTTTATCTTTTCTATCAGTCATTTGGTTATTCTTTTCATTTAGTTTTTGCGTTAAATTTGATATCATCCTGACTGATCAAGATGACACTTAGTTATTATCTTGATGATATTTCCTTTTTGGACCGTCGAATTGGATTTGATACGCGATTTGTGTTCGGAGATAATTGTCTCACGACACTCGACTCTGATTTACGATTGTCGGTGGTCTTTCAATAGTTTTATTCTATGTTGTGGTTCATTTTCTGGTGAAATCATATATGTTCATATCGATCTTTTGTTCGAGTTTTTGGGATGGGTTTTTAACCTTTTCCTTATCTTTATATGATCTTATAAGTAGTTAATTTCTTCTATAATAATTACAGAAAATGTCTTAATTGTATATTTAATTTATTTTTATGATTGTAAATTTTCATTATAATTTTATATTTTTTTATTTTTTAATAAAACTAACGAATTTTATCCGCATAAAAAGATCGCGACGTGGTCAAATTTGTTTGGGTCCACAAAATAAGAAAATAACAAAAATGCCATTATGGGCCGGTAGTAGCGTTCAACAACTGAGCCGTTCAAAATGCGGCCCAATTTGTAACTACAATAATTCACACACTACTTTGTTTTCGGCTCAAATCAACCAATTTTCACACTGAACGGACTGAAAACCCCTTCCCCCCCCCCCATTAAAACCAAACCCGGTACCCATGATGGAGGAGAAACGCCGGGACGCGGGTAACTCGCCGGCGGGGCGAGCTCGGCGGAGCCGGATTCGACGTCAACTCGCCGTCGAGGTGGAGCTTTGAAGAGAAAAGGCAATTGGCTTTCCGGGTCAAGCTCTTCATCGACGCCGTCGAAACGGGTTACTAGAGAGAAGTCAAACTTGATCTCCCACCCTTCGGTCAACCATTACGGTCCTCTAACCAGGGCTCGCCAAGGGGCACCTGGCGGAAATTTTGCCTTGGGTTCGAGCTCGGGATCGGATGGCGCGAAGCTGGAGGCGAGTGTGGTGAAACAAAGTGTGAAGGCGGAAGATTTGGAGGAATTGAATAAGCTAAGTGAAGAGTGGGAAGCTTTGGAAGCTAAAATTGAGGCTGATTTTGAGGCTATTAGATCTCGTGACAGTAATGCGCATGTTGTTCCTAATCATTGCGGTGAGTGTTTCTGTTTCCCCCCTTTTTTCCTTGTTTGGTTGATGGGAAAATGGGCAGAAATGGGAATGAAAGGTGAGCTTTATCTTTTGCAACTTTAGTGGGAGCTAGTGAATTGGACAAATTTTGTGGGATTTTTTTTCTGATGATTTAGGATTTCAATTCAGTTTGAACTTTGAATAGATGTTTTTGTCCTACTTTTGGAAAAACATGAAATGAGAATTGAATTGTTTTCTT